TTAGTCACTTAATTTGTGATTTGCCCCAATCAAGTCCTTTCCATAGGCAACAAATGGAGCAGCATTTTTTCTTAGACTCAACAAGTCTTGGCCCCAAAATTCTTGCTGCATGCACCACTTTGTCTTTAATTCATGAACTTAACATGAATAATTTGGCCTTTTGTGTATGACTTTATTTAGACATGGCTCTAAATCGAAGACCTACTTCCGAGATGATTTCCACCATTACGGTGTTGAAAGGTGATTGGATTGTTGATTCGTCCAACCCTGAAGAGGCTGGGCAATTCTTGCACTTTCGTCAACTCACATATGGTCTTCTTCTTTGTCTGAGGCTAAAGAGCTTCAACTTATGGTGCTTGAGTCAACCAATGGTCCCTATGCCATCGAAGGACTTTCTCACCTACTTGCATTAGAGATGCCCAAGCTTTGTGAATATATGACCTTGGAAGGAAAAGCTTCATCAACGGCAAGCCACGTTGGATCTTTCCCCTCCTTGGTGCTTCCATCCAATCATGTGACTGAACATGCAACACCAACAATGGTCGTAACACAGTCGATAGGTCAAGGAGTAAGCAAATGGTGTCAATGCATTGATCATTTGGGAAAGGTACCATTCCTAAGTGGCTTCTAGTATTGGTCAAACTACACAGCCAAGATGCTAAGTCGTCACAAGATGGGAGCTTTAGCAGACACAGTGTCATTGGCCAATAATGACTATTGTTGTCCTTCGAGTATGCTTCGTGCCCTCATTGAGGTATGGTCTCCCAGTACAAATACCTTTTTAACTTCTGTAGGAGAGGTTGGAATATCTCTCCTAAAGATGCGAGATATTTTTGGTTTGTCAATTCGAGGAGCATACTACGAGGAGGTGATTCCAAGTTACAAAGAACTCACAGAGGACTTACCACCTTACTGCTTACTTCTGTTTAAAGCATTTACCACGATCGTCCAAAGGGAGAATTCTGAACGTGTAACTTACGCTGATTGGCTCGACTTTTGGTCTAATCGTAACCCACCCTATGTCGATCCACTCACGAGTAAACGATATCTAGATATGTCTGAGTTAAAGTATGATGGTAATAGGAATGTGATTTCAGTTCCTAAACTTGACCGCCCATTGAAGTGGACATTTGGATATGAGAGGAAACTAAGGGGTGTACCAAAACAATGGGATCATCTTGGCATGTTGGATGTTGCTTTGGAGGTAAATAATAGAGAAAAACTTTTGATTGTTGCTTATCTTTGTGTTTGGCTTGGCAAATTTGTTTTTCCAGATAGGGAAGAATTTGTTAGAGTCGGAACTTTCAAAGCTGCAACCCAAATGGCAATCGGTGTTACCTACAGCTTGGTTTTTCCTATCTTGGCATGCATCTATCGTGGACTTGGACAACTAACAAAAGTGCTTGAAGGTTCATGGGTATATGCAACTGAAACTCCTCCTTTTCCTGGACATTATTTATATGCTTGGATTGGTTTGCATTTCCCCCACAAAACTTTTGCAGCCAGATATAAAGCTTCTTTACCTATGGTTCGGCACTTTTGTGGGATTTTGAATGGATACCAGCCTTGGGAACCAGAGGTAGCGGATTGTCGTGTTGTTTTACAAGGTGATTTATCCTCAGACGACTTTTGTTGGACTCCAATGCCTTTCCCAACCCACCCTGGACCTCGAGTTGACGATGGACAACGACGGGCTGACACTTTGGATTTCATGGTGAGCATTAGAGCAGGTTATGTGGTGCTTCACCAAGAAGGCTGCTTCACAAAGAAGTCTTACAATCCTTGCCGATTTGCTAGACAGCATGGATTTCAACAAAGACTTCTATGAAGACATGTCAAATTACCTTATGGTGGTGAAGTGTCAGATCTTTATCGCTTTTGGTTATCTTTAACCCAAGTACATAACAAGACATTTCTTCATATCCCCTCAGCTGAAGGCGGAGTAGCATCTAGGGTTGACCCAGCTTATGTGAAGTGGTGGAATGAAGAAGTTTTTCCTTCAATTTCTGCAGTGAGCATCCAATTCTTGAAGGCTAGCGAGGCTAGAAATTTCATCTCATCCTTAATGAAGAGCACAGTGATCAGACCTCAAAGGAAGGGGAAACAGCTTCAAGCACTATTGTCTCCCTCACAGAAGTGAAATAATGCTGGTGACCCTAATCCATCTTCAAAGAAGCAGAAATGCAACAGAAGTCCTCAAAGAGAGCCGGGCTGTTTACAACATCCACTTTCTACGCCTGTTGCCCGGCAAACCACCAATCAAGCTTTGTATGAAAGTAAGCACGTTTCCTCACCTTTTAAAGAAAATCTTTTTCTTTCTTTTTTTTAATCTTAAAATTCTTTTGTTACTGACTTTTTTTTTCTTCTTTCAAAAATATTTAGCTCCCCAGAATTAAGAGGATTGCTAGGAGATGTAGAGATGATTAGTGCTTTAGATGATTTTCTTGAGACAAACACTCTTAAGATACTTGGATCACTTCCAAGTCAAATTGATGGAAGAGTTCTATCCTTAAATGTTAGTGAGCAAGTAACTGCTGAAGATGGGGAAGTTGACTCACATGACAGACAACCAAATGTGAAGGAAACCATTGGACTTAATCCTCCTGCCCTGACATCATCTAATCCACTGAAACTTAAGCCTACATTCTCCTACATCACAAAGCCTTTGGAACCAATGAGCTCTTAAGCACTGGTGAAGCCCATCCTTTTTAAAGCTATGAGCAACTATGTGCAAGAGGAATTTTCACGAGGCTTGCAGAATGGCTTTTCTATGCTTGGACAGTGGTGGGTAGGGCGATCTTCTGCAATTTCAGAAGCACTCCAGCTCTATTTCCGCATGGATGTTGACCTTTTACTCAAGACGATGGATGCTTACCTATCTAAGGTAAATCTTTACTTAGCAAAACGATATGAGGTCTCCACCGGCTTGGATGTTGAAGAAAGAGATAAATCTCTTGCTGCCTTACAGAAGGGGATATCATCAAATCAGATCATCCATGACTCTCTTTCAAAGGAAATCAATGAACTCACCAAGAAGAAGAGATCCCTAGAGAGTAAGATTGAAAGTTTGAAGAAGGAGCTGGAATCAGTTGAGCAGCAACATAGTGATGTGACTTCCACACTTGATTTGCTCCTTGACAAGAGGCAAACGGTAGAAGAACAACTCCAGTCCAACCAAGCAAAATTGATAGAGTTGGAAAACTCCAAAGTTGTAGCTATTGAGACAGTCGCTGAAGTGCAGAGGATGTGACAAGACCTTAAAATTGAGTTTGAAGCCATTGCAAAGGGAACTTGGTTTGAAAACAACATGTGATGTTCATTTTGTATGCTTTCCCCATTTTTTAGACTTTGAGCATTCATTTTCAAAGACTTGTCAAATTTTGGCTTTAGCCACTTTATGAATAAATAAGATGCATTTTCTTCACTTTTGTTGTTCTCTCTGCTCTGCTTTCTTTGCCTGACATAGATATTTCTCCCTTTGTTGGAAAACTTGAAATGAACCATAATCAAAAGCAAACTTAAATTTATTTTAAGAATTTGACTGAACTTGGAAAAAACACCAAGTTGCCTACGCACCCCTTTTGGGGATCAAGTCAAACGTAGTTCAAAGGTTTTGTTTTTGTTTTTTTTTTTTTTTTTGAGCCGTTCACAGTTTATACTCTTGCAGGCCAGGAGTATTACATTTTTTTATTTTGGTCACACAGTTTGTACTCTTGTGACTAGGAGTATTACATTTCTTCTTTTTTTTTTTTTTTAAGAGTACAATTTCTTGAGGAACTTTCCATTAATGGGACCAACCTGTAAACCATCTTTGTCAACAATCTTGTAGGCACCATTACTGTAAGGTTAAAACTCTTTTTTGGTCCCTGAACTATTGTACAGACTCTCGATTTGGTCTTTGAACTAAAAAAATCCCTGATTTAGTCCCTACTGTTTACCATTTTTACCTCGATTTGGTCCTTCCATTAAAAATTGTGTGACGTGACATGTTACTTCACGGTTACCAGATGACATGTCGTATAGTAATCCAAGTGGAAGATAATATAACCAAAAAAATGATGATGTGGAAAAATAATAATATAAAAAAATATTATGAAAAATAAAACTTAAAATTTCTTTTCTTTTTTCTTTCTCCTTCCCCTTTCCTTTTCTTTTTCTTCTTCCCTTTTCTCTTCTCTTTCCCCTCGGAACCAAGCAGGCCTAGGTTCCTTCGAACCCACCCAGGCGCTAGGTTCACAAGGAACCCAAGCATGTTGGGTTCGCGTCTGGGTTCGCACCGAACCCAGCATGCCTAGGTTCGCAAGGAACCCAAGCGTGTTGGGTTCGTGTCTGGGTTCCTTACGAACCAAGGTGCAAAACATTTAAAAAAAAAATTTCTATTTTTTTTTTTTTTTTTTATGAAAAATTGATTGATGAAGATGAAGAAGGCAAGGCAAGGCAGTTGCTGGGTTACTGCAGGTGCTGGGTGCAATGCTGGGTTCGATTTTTTTCAATTTCGATTGCTAGGTTTTTGCAGGTGCTGGGTTCGTTTGCAGGTGCTGGGTTCGAAATCGAACCCAGCAGGCGATGGGTTTGAGCAACCGTTGAATTCCTGCAAATGAGGCTCTGGGTTTCGTTTCGAACCCAACAGCCGTTGGGTCAAATATCTATTGAGTTTAATCTGTTGATTTGTGGTTATCCTCGAATTTAATATTAGGAGTTAGGGTTTGCAGAAGGTTAAAGGAAAGGGAGAGGAAGAAGAAAGGGAAAAAGGAAAAACAAACAAAGAAAAAAAAAAGGAATAAGAAAATTTTTAAGATTTTTTTCTTGCCATCTCATTTTTTCGTCACACTGTACATCCTAGGTGTCAAAATGTTTTTACATGTCATCGTTTTCTCATCAAGTAACAGGACACGTAGGTTGATATTTGACAGAAGAACCAAATCGGGGTAAAAATGGTAAACAGTAGGGACCAAATCAGGGATTTTTTTAGTTCAAGGACCAAATCGGGGTCCATACAATAGTTCAGGGACCAAAAAGGGGTTTTAACCTTACTGTAAACTTTTGTCACGATATAAGGACCATCCCATTTTGAAGTAAACTTGCCCCCTAAATGACGAGTGATGACAATTGGCCTTCGAACAGCTAACATCACATCTCCAACTTGAAATGCCCTTAGTCGGACCTTCTTGTTGAATGCCCTAAACAATCTAGCTTGATAACACTCTAAGTGTTGTTGGGTCTCCAATCTTTTCTCATCTAAGGCTTCTAGTTCTTGGAGACAAAGCTTGGCATTTTGTTCATCAATAAGACCTTCTTGAATGGCAATCCTGAGAGATGGAATTTGGCATTCCAAAGGGAGAACAACTTCAACTCCAGACACAAGGGAATAAGGAGTTGCTTTTGTTGGAGTACGATGAGTCGTTCGATACACCCAAAGTGCTTCACCAATTCTTTCATGCCAATCCCGCTTGGACTTTAGAACAACCTTCTTAAGGATATTGCAAAGGGTTTTATTAAAAGCTTATGCTAGTCCATTCACAACAGCATTGTACATAGAGGAAAAATGTTGGGCAAACTTGAACTTTGAACACAGCTTGTCCATGAGACTATTGTTAAAGGGCTTGCCATTATTTGTAATTATGTACCTTGGAACATAATACCGATAGATGATATTGACTATAATGAAGTTAAAAACATTTTCCTTCTTGACTTGTCTCAAAGGTACAGCTTCCACCCATTTGGAAAAGTAATCAGTTGCTGCCAGGATATATGCATGCCCGGCTAAAGATTTTGGTGTAATGGGTCCAATCACATCTAAACCCCAAGCATGAAAGGGCCATGATGCTATTGTTGGATGTAAAGGCTCCAGTGGTTGATGGATAAAGGTTGCATGAAAGTGACATGCTTCACATTTCTTTGCATATTCCATGCAATCCTTTACCATTGTTAGCCAGTAGTATCCCATTCTTCTTATTCGGTAGTGAAGCTTTGGACCAAACTGATGAACTCCACAAATTCTAGAATGCGCCTCCTCAACCACTTGGAATTGATTCATCTCCATCCAAACATCTAAGGAGAACTCCATCAAAAGATCGCCGATAGAAGGTGTTACAAAAGTAAACAAAGCATAGAGCCCTTCTTCGAATTGTGGATTTTTTGCGTGGATCATCTAGTAGCTTTCCATGTTCCAAGTAATTGATGATTGGTTGTCTCCAGTCTTCTTTCTTAATGACAAATACTGAAACAACATTGCTTTCTGCATCTTCAAATCTCAAATGAGGTGAAATCCATTGTTGGGACACAAAAATAGTGGCTTCTTGATTATCAAGACTTGCAATGACAGCAGCTAAATTAGCCAAAGCATCTGCTTGCTTGTTTCAACTCCTAGGAACGTGGGCAATTGAGACATGATCAAATTTCTCAAGGAGTTGAGAGGCATATTAGAAGTATGGGATAAGTTTTGGTTTTCAAACATCAAACTCCTTTATGAGTTGATTCACTACCAAGCTTGAGTCCCCATAAACATTGAGTTGATAAATTTGCATTTCAAGAGCCATCTCCAAGC